TTCATAACTGGCCAGTGACTGCACGTTTCCTTCCCAAGCCCTGAGCCCTTTGTTGCAGTGACAGTTCCCGCGGCGAGGGCGCTGCAGTGAGCGGGGCAGGGCAGACCCAACATTCTTCTCTCGGTGACAGCCACGAGAGATGTGGGATGTACACAACAAAAACTGCACCTAAGGGGAAAGACAGCGAAGCTGGAAAGGCAGGGGAAGTCGCAAGCAATTTCAGTTTGGGATACTGATATGGTAAGAAACCTCCTGCATGCAAAACAAACCACACTGTAGCTGAACTTCACCCACAGACTCATTGCCCCTTGAATCCAAAGTCCCCATCTGCATCCCTGCACATCCAGACTGGAACAAGCATATCCAAAGGCTGGCAAGTATTTTCTTTTTGGAGTTTTGCCCGCTATTAGGAAATTGTAGGGGATCATTTTCTGACAGGGGACGTGCATTTGCAAATTTAAAATTTGCATCTAATTTTTAAAATGAAGATTTAGGGTTTCTCCCCCTGCACATTCCTGCAGCACAGATATATGTGTTTTGAAAGATTTGTTTGGTGAAGAATAAAGATGCCAGTTTTCCTATAATACATGGTGGTTGTGTTCCACAGAGCACTGAGACAAGAGGGAATAACACTGCTGTAACTCAAAATCTGACTCCTGCTGTTTTTCCTGAAAGCAATACACTAAATACTATCTGTTTGGAGACCCCAGCGTGAGTCTATTTCAATCATCCTTTTCATAACTTAGTGCTATGAAAGGCCAAAAAAATGGAAATACTAAAGTTTGCTTTGTTTCCAGGTCCTCCTGTTCTTGATGCAAACAGATCACAAGATCAATTAAAAAAACCAGCTTAATGACACTTAAACTGTGCCTAGTATTAAAACTGATTAAGAAATTTGTTTCATAGGCGATCCCAAACAATTGGTGGCCGCAGCAGACATGGGAAATGTTTGCATGGAAGGCCAGCTGTATGATTAGCCTCTGCCTTCATTTGCCCAGCAATTTAGGGGAAACCCTGCATTTAGATCCCATACAACTAAAAGGAATTCCCAAGGAGATTACAAGATTTTGATCTTATTGTTTAATTCCTGTGGCTGAGAATGAAAAGGAGCATTGCCTCAATCTTTGGGTAAAGGGAAACCCAAAGGCATTTTGAAGACTATTCACACCACTCAGCTTAAAAGATGGGCTAAGGGAACTGACAGCCTCTCTGGAGTCCCTCTACAATAGGGAGAGCAAACTTGCTCCAGGGGAGGCCTTAGTTCAGCTCTGACAGACCTGCTCCTGCTCAACTGGAGAAAAACTCCAGGGAGACATGCTGGATAATTTATCTGCTGAAATTTAGCACCAAAATTGGTGTTGTGTGAATGAACCTCCATTACCCCTCTACCATTTGCCTCAGCTGCTCTTGGGCATTAATTATATTTTCCTTGGGCTTTTTTAACTGCAAGCATTATTATTTTATATGTTGTGGAATAGATGCCCTATTACACCAGTGAAATTAGCTTTGCTTTTCCCTTTTACTGCCACTCTGTTCTTGTCTCTTCCAACCAGTCTCTGACTCCTATTTTACACACGGAATATTTCCCTGCAGAAATGATTTCAAAGAGAATTGCAAAAGCCAGATAATTATCCAGTGATTTGACTGGAGCAGTTTTCCACAAAGCTGATTATTTATGATTTTGAATTCCTCTGAACATATGTGCTGTGCAGAGATCTCTACTCCAAGGGGTGAACCTTTCGTAGTAACTGGTCATGAAGGATCCCACTGAGTGTCCAACAATGGGTGTCCAACCCTCTCCTCGTTCTTTCAGCAGAGTGCATCCAGGCTGCTGTTCTGGAGCACATCAGGCACATCTCAATCCCCTGCAAGGACTGCACCGTGCCACTGGAGCTGAGTTCAGCCTCCAGGATAGGCCTGTTCAAAAGGCAGTGGAATTTAACCATCAGGCATTTTCCGTAGCACTAAACATCACACAGAGCATGGTTACTTGTCTCAGCACCTTCTGAGGTACGTATTACATTCCTTAAAGACACGGAAATATATACAGAACAGGAGGGTCAGGTTGGATCTCAGGGAAAGGCTCTTCCCCCAGAGGGTGGTTGGGCACTGACCAGGCTCCCCAGGGCAGTGGGCACAGCCCCGAGGCTGCCAGAGCTCAGGGAGGGTTTGGACAATGCTCTGAGGGACAGAGTGGGATTGTTGGGGTGTCTGTGCAGGGCCAGGAGATGGACTTGCATGATCCTTATCAATCCCTTCCAACTTAGGGTATTCTGTGATGATATAATTCTATGATACTTAAAAGAATTAGCATACTCAGAGAAAAAAATGCACTCCTCAAATTGCATACTGTGTCCCAGGTAAAAAGCTTCAAATGCACACACATCATATATGTATTTCCATGCACATGTACAAATATATGTAAACACAAAAACTTATATAAATGTATGTGTGTGCACATCTGAAAAACACTCAACTGCAGATATTCAGAGGAATTTCTATAAACTCCTTCCTCAGTCTTCCCTTTTCAAGGCAAGTGGATTTTGTGGCCTCTCACTGAAATACAGGGAAACAAATTTTCTGCATTTTCTTCCAGATCTCTGTGTCCTCAGCACCACAATAACACTTGATAAGACTTCCTTCTTTTATTTGTAGGGTTGTTTAATTATTTGTTGGTCTCAAAGAAAAGCAGAAATACCAGGGGCTTGGATCCAGATGATCTTTAATGGCCCTTCCAACCCAAACCATTCTGTGATTCTATGATTCTGGAGCTGCAGAAAGTGGGGATGTGTGAAACCTCTGTCCCCCTCACCTCAGAACAGAAGGCAGCCTAGTTCAGTTCTAAATGCCTTGCCAAAGGCCCCAGCAGGAGCCCAGAGTCAGGGCTGCAGCTCAGCTGCCCTGGTTTTGGTGCGGGTACGCGGCGCGGTTCCTGCAGCACACCCAGCGACAGCTGTGATGGATACACGTTTACTGGCAAGCACCTCACAGCCCTGCTTCCTTATCTCCCTCTTTAAGAGATAAGCTACTTAATATTTGCCCCTGGCTGATACCGACCAATGTGTCATGATACAGCTGCACCCGTGGTAACCTTTTGAGCAGACGCAGGCGCTTCCAGCCAGAGCCCCAGCACCGGAATGCCCCGCGAGTGCTTTCACAGTCATGACTCACAGAAATGCTTTCTGTTCTCAAAAGGCCACGAGCAATGCAGCAGGACAGGTTTGTCCACCCACTGCATTTTGTTCCAGCAGTTCTGGCACAGAGCTGAATCTGGGATCAAATAGTCTTAGGAAGCCAACATGCCAAGCTTGAGGAGTAGGCTAATGTAAATATATAATGGCGTGGGAAAAAGTCTTTTGTTTGTTAATGGCAGGTGATACAGAATATCTGTTGTTCGGGACAAGCAACCGCAGAGTTGTTGGATTGCATTCAACGGTGCCCAGTTGTCTTTCTTTTGGGGCAGAAGTTGCTTTCCTCTCTGTGCCTGTGTGCACATGCACCCGGCAAGGATTTCAGCAAGGCAGTGCCTTAACAAACTTTTCATTCCATGAAAAAAAGAGGGGGAAAAGGGTATTTTGTGGGAATCTAAGCAAGAAGTACCTGGAGATGGGTGGCAGCAGCATGGTACGAAAATATGTGCTTTGGAAATCTCAGCTGACTACCTAATCCCAAGCACTCCTGGAGGAAGGGGAGGAATGAGGAAGTCAGTTTGCGGTTCCCACTTCTCTGGCTGTGAGATCCAGAACATAATTACTGAGCTACAGTTCAGCCAGCTTTTGACAAATGAACCACCAAGAGTTTTCTCTGCATGTTTTCTATTCAAGTGTATTTAGTCATAAATACTTGGTTCTAATGGCATTTTCTTAGTCAAACAGAGCCACTCCTAAGCACTAATATTCTTGGTATAAGGCTGTTCTTTTATTCTGGTTGAAGGTCTTTTTAGAGAAGTTGAATATTCTGGATTTTTTTCAGCCACACTAATTTCAGCTAATTACACCCCTAGCACTCTACATCTCCAAACCCTTTGCAACAGTTCATATACTCTGTGCTGGGAGGTTGCCATGAAAGAGAAATAATCCCTGTGATATCCAGTAAAGTTATCAAATTAATTTTATAAAAGGAAGAAATCATAGCAGAAGGACACAAACATCAGGTCAGACCACCACATTTCCTTGTTCCCAAGGACCTTATTCAAATTCAGCTTCTCTAGTCTCCAGGAAAATAAAACAGAAATTCCTGAGTTAATAATGCTCCCAATTAGCTTGTCCAGAGGTATCCTCATTTGAGAGGGATATAAATCTCTCTCTATATATATTTATATACATAAATATCAACTTGATTTATTTATATCTGTAAGTATCAAAGACCTGGAGGAGGAAGCAATGAGCCATGAACAATCCCTGCTGGTCTTGCTGTATGCTTTGGCTGTATTTGATGACTTAATATTAAAATGATAATGTACGTGTGCAAAAGGTTTATTTTTAATCAGTGCATATTTTTCAAATCATATTACTTTTGAAGTCAGAGGCAGTACTCGTTTTCATTCTTTGCACTTTTACAAGCAGATAATAAGAGGTACTACAGCCCTTTTGGGGCTTAATTTCCTCAAGTGGAAATTAAGATTCAGTAAATGAAAAACCCTCTACCAGTATTTGAACCATTTGTATAGTTTTTGATTCTGTGTGAGCAAGTTACATAAAACACACTTAGTGAAAGTACCAGCATTGTCAATTTTTGTTTTCAGGTATTCCTGAAACCCTCTCCCCATCCCTAACCACCTACCATCAAAGAGAATAAACAGAAATCAAATTTTTCAAAACCCAGCCAAATGGATGCTTTCCCAAGGGCCTGCATTTGCTTTTGCTTTAAAAACAGCACCCTCAGTTTTGTTTAAAGCCTTTTTGCATTCCAGACGTGCCTCTTTTCCCTAGATGGGTTCACTTGAGCTTCTTTCTCCACTTCAGCTTTCCAGTGAGCTCCAGTCCCTCCCAGTGTGGTACCTGTTCCAGTGTCTCTCCTCAGGCTGAGGCAGATCCAGGAGCCCTTGCAGAGGGAGTTGGCCACGGTCCTGAGCTCCGTTCTGCTGGCACTGCAGTGCAGGGAAGTGTTTGCCTGCTCCCATCATCTCCAGCTGAACCAGGAGGCAGCTCAGCCTGCCCTTCCACTGGGTGACTGCAAGGGAAGAACATCAGCTTAGGGAGCAATAAATCAAACGGAGCCCTGCTCAGCTCCCACTCTACACCCAGCAAAGCCAGACTAGAGGATGCTGTGACCTAAATGAGAGGCTCCTCTAAGTCTGGCGTCAAAGGTGATTAAATCCCTCTGGGTTCTGAACATCTCATCCTAAACTACCCATTTCTGTTTGGAAAATGTTGAGACATCTTTTGTTCAAAAGCTTTGAGTTTAGCATAATTCCCATGTTTTCCTTCCCTTCAGTAACTCGGCTATGGAAAAAAGACCTCTGCAGGGAAATGTCAGGATTAGTCTCAGAATGATAATGTAGCTCACACAGTCAACAGAAGCACCAGGAAGAAAAAAAAAATTGATAAAAACAGGTCCATAAAAATTAAAAACTGGAAACTCCTGAAAAGACAGAGTCTGTGCAGAACAGTAATGCTGGCACAGATCCTACTCAGTATGGAACTGCAGCACTTATGGGGCTGGCAAGGCTACACACATTTATCTGTCCTCTAACACAGTCACACACTTGTCTTGGTTGGAAAAAACTCTCAAACTTTGCAAAGAAAAATTTCTTTGGTAGGAAAAGAGAGGTTAATCAAGGCCAAAATAAGGTGGAGTTGTGAGGCATCTCTCAAATTCGCCATAAAAACAGATTAGCAAGTGAGAAAACTTTTGAGAGTCGGCTTCGTTGTATTATTTTAATTATATATTATAAATACATATAACATATACTACATATAGTATATAGTATGCAATTAATTATAATTATAGAAATCAATTAATATATGAATCAATAACACACTAAAACAAATTAATATAAATTCATAACTATTAAATAATTATTGATGTATTGTAATAATATATAATGACATATGATATTAACATATAATTATACAGTATATAATATACCTTATTGCCATATCATTAAGACATTATATATTTATATGTTGATATGCTATATTAATATGCCAGTATATATTCTCTATTAATAATTATTATTAATTATATCGTTTTCTATATTATGAATATTATTAGTTATATATTCTGATACATTTAATCTAAAAGCTTGAAAAAGAGGAGGAACAAGATACAGAAAGATTTCACAATTATCAAACTGAAATTAGTTGGCTGGCCCAAACCAGACCCTGTCTAAAATCCAGGGAATCATAAATTTTTGTGCTTTCTTGGCAAGAGAACACTTTGCAGGACTCTGTGTGTGTGGGAATCAAGGAGCACAGGCCAGGTGTAGCGAGGCACAGACTTAGAAGGTTTTTTAACATCACTGCAGACACTGGTGAGATACAGGACTACTCATCCCAACAGCCATACCCCAGAGAATTTAAATGGGTTATTTTCAGTCTTTTTCAGCATTTCCACGTGGAAAGGGCTTGGCTTCTCTGCACCGTGGGGTGGTGATACTTCTGCACCCTCTGGGGTAGAACAGGGCAGAAGGCAAGATTGATTTCCAGAGCTACAGACAAACTGCTGGAAAACTTGGTGTGGTCACTGCTGCTTCTCCTGGCAGTGGACAGGAGGACACTCGGTGGCCAGAGTTATTGAAGAGCCTGAGGAACGGGAGGCACCCAGAGACCAAGCACAGTGGTTCCCCAGGGACACTGCAGCCCTGCCACAACGCCAGCAGGCCTTCACTGAATCCCCCATTATTTTGCCTTATTATTTGGATCATATTTGTTTCCTTGGTGCTTCCCCAAAAGGCAGCACAGAGCATCTTTCTTTTCAAGACGAGCAACAAACCAGTGCAAAATACCCACACTGCCATGAGAGCAAGTTGCTACACACCCTCAGCACAGGCTAAGGACTCACTCCGAGGTGGATGAGGCAAACAAACAAACAACCCCACCCAGATGACAAAGCAAATATTCCACTGCTGTCATTTTGGCCGCGCACGTGTCAGGAAATCACAGGCACAAGGGACACCGTGCTCGCAGGGATTGCTGCCCTTGGGAGCTGCCCTGTGTCCAGCAAACAGCCACGGCCGAGGATGTGCAGAGGCACAGGCCCAGGCTGAGCACACCTCAGACCATGTTTACACACTCAGGGCATGAATAAAGGCAGAATTTTCCAAACTATTTTAATGTAAATACAGGGGCGCCCACAGCCGAGCAGGCCGGCAGTTCTGCCGGGCCGGCTGCCAAGGAACAAATGTGCTGCAGCGTATTCCATTTACCCCCAAACAATGGGGAAAGGGCCCTCTCGGGCTGTTCCAGCCGTGCCCAGCGCTGCTACGTGTCTGCCCACAGGTGCCGTGCCCCGCCAGCACTCCCGTGCGCTCCCAGGGATTTGTTCCCTGCCTTGGCTTCCCTGTCCCAGCGCGGCTGCCGGAGCCCGGCCCGGCTGCCCAGCCCAGCAGGCACACGCAGCGCTGGCAGACTGTGCTCAGCTGTAACCTAAATGTTTTTTACCTTCCGGGACAAAACCTCAGCCTAGTAATGATGATGGGTAGCAAAAAAATTTGCTAATTCTGTGAGGTTTTCTTTCCAGCATTTCTTTTCCATTATTAAGTGTACACATTGCAATAAGAAACAGATTCAGTTCATGCAGTTTTTCCTTTGGACATAAACACAGAAAAAAAATAATAATCATATGGTTCACTGCACTGCTCCCAAAACTTTCAGCTTTCTGTTTGCTATTCTGCTGCTGTGAAATACTTAGAAGTGCATCCTGTATTAGCATACAAATAGTGTGTATAATTCAGTATAAACTGGGTTGTTTATAAACATCAAACATTATTTATAGTGCTCACACACATCACCATGGAAACACAGTAATTGCTATACCATTAGGACACAATTTCTCTGTGCAGTGAGGGAGAATGGCAATTTATCTGCATCTGGGTGGTTTCACATTGCTGCTTGTGGCCACTGATCTCCCCTCCAAAGCATCTTTGGATGTGGAATTAGTTTTGATTACTGAAGAGAAGATTAGATCAATATAAGAGCGAGATGCAACAGAAGAGCACATGTGAAAACACTGCAATTATTGCGCGGGAGTGACGTGAACTGTTCAGTGGGGGGGATTCAAAGACCAACTGCGGAATTTGCAGCCCAGCCAAAGGTCACTGTGGCCACTGCTTCCCACTGCTGCTGGTCACTGTGTGCTGCCTGGCAGCCTCGAGGAAGCACAGTATTGATTGCAGATTCACAAGGTAAAAAATTAGCAAGAACAGACACTCTTGTTCCTAGTTCTGCCAGTAAGGTCAAGGATTGAACAGACCACAGAAGTGCTTTTCCCCTTTAAAGAGAACAGAGTATGCAGAGTGCCAACATTTAAAGGTACAGAAGAGTATAGGGGCAGAGTTTATAAAGGACGGCTATGTCTGCATATAGAGAGACACCAACTGGGGTTTTTGTTAATATGAGTGAGACTGTAAGGCATTAAGATCATTGCTTTCTGTCTGGCACTTGAAGTGGAGGCTGTGATACAAAGAAACACATTCTTGGACCTAACAGTGTTAATGGCAAGATTATCCCACCTTGGCAATAACAGCTTCCTGCTCGGTCATATCTGCCTGACAAAGGCCCTTTAAGAGAGCTAACAGAAAAGGGATGGAAATTCATCACAGCATCCTCATACCAGACTGTATTAAACCACGGCTTGAACTGATCATATGTTTGAATATAAGAAAATATAATAAAATTCTCAGCTGTAATTATCATTCCTTCCAACCAAGATGTGTAAGGGTGGGCAAAGAGGATCCCTGTGCTTTTGATGCAAGGTTCACATTCAGGCTAATTTTGCAATATCACTGGAGGCAAAACTCCTAGAGATGCTAAGTTGGAGTCAGAGGGTTGCTCCAAAAAGACTGTATATAGAAACTCTCATTACTGCATGAATTGAGCTTATTCCCCAGCTGGATTTCCTGTGAAGTGTCCAGCATTTTGTCCCATCAAAAATTGCTCCTGAATTCAGAATGGAAGATTCCTTTGTGCAATCTGTCATAATAACATGAAACCAGAATGGCTTCTCTATTTCTGATAGAGGTTTTCCTCTCAGAAGGGAAAAAACAAGGTCTTCTCCCCCCTTGCAGATGTAAATTCTGCAAAGTACTTTGGGAGCCTTTAGGATAAAAAACCTGCTTGAGTAAACACAGGGTATAATTATCATCATCTGTCTTCTCTGTGAATCCATACATTTTATATTCCGTTTAAAACAGGAAAAAAAAGTCCTCGACGGGCTGTCTTCCAGAGCACCAATTTAGCTAATGAGAGTGAATATCAATGACTGCTGGCTAATCAGAATGGTATTAGCATAAATTTTACTTAATGAGGACATATTTGCCGGGTGCCAGGAGCAAAATGGTACTGAGCTGGATTGTAAAATGCAATGGATGGGTAAGTCTCATCTGGAGAGAAAACCAGCAGATCAAATAAACAACTGCATCTGAGGTCCCTGTTAAACTAGAACTTTTGGCAACCCGGGATTTTAACCTCACTTGAGGCTTTTCGAACTTTTTCATTACAACAGAATGTTATCAACTCTAACTGTGATGAATTAAACACCCTGGGGAAAGCTTGACAAGAGATTCAGTTGAACTCTATTAACCTCACGTGGGTAGGTAGATCGCTGAGGGAACTGGCTTTCTCTTTCATTTAAGGCATGCAATAGATGCACTCTGCTGCCCAACAAAAGTGTATTTTCCCTTTGTGCATTGTGTAAGGCCCTCCTGAACAGTCCCCAGTGCTGCTCTCAGCCCCAGAAGCAGCAATGTTACATTGCCCTCTGTCTGCCTGCCAGGGATCTGGGGTGGGACATTCCCTGGGGCCACTCTTGTCCCGAAGGAGTTAAGTGCCAGCAGCATCCCAGTGCCCTTCTGCTCACTGCATTTCTTCCCCTTTATAGAGAATCCCTATTAGACAGTCTGAGAAGTCTCCATGAACAATATGAAAGATTTTTGTCTACAGTAACATAAAGAGGTTAGAGTTCAATACTCTCACAAAATATTTAATCTTGTGAAATGCTTTTTGTAGTGT